CCTTTTACTCCACGACGGAGAAGTCGAGTAAGTTTAGGTACTCCGCAAGGAGAGGAGTAAAATATATACTCCACTATAGGAGTTACGGGATAAGTTAGGTCCTGGTTAGAGAAGTAAGGCCGAATTTTTACTTCTCTAGCCGTTTAGAGAAATGCTCTAACCCTTATCAAGGTCCTTCACATTCGTTATAGGAATAAGAGCAACACTACTAATAGCCACGTCAACAACACAATTAACTTGCATATCCATCTTTTAAGATTCTGACCCACTCATTACCAGTGCACCGCTCGGGCCATCTTTAGTTTCATCAAGCATGCACGTTATTGGTCAGTCGTTGTTCTTGCGCTGCTCGTTCCGCTTCAGCATGCTTGGCCATAGCATGAGTGTGACTGTTGCATTCGGGACATGACAGCCGACAACGCCAATCATCACATGAGAGACATGGTCTCACCGGCCGCTCGCTGTTACGATCCACCAATCGACATTTCTTTGAACGAGCAAGCTGATTAGGTTGGGGACAGCCGATTCAGGGATTCCTGGGTTGGTTCAATCATGCATTGTACGCGACTAACACTAGCGTCCAGACCTGGACATGGTTCACAATAGCGACTGGGCCAGCCTGGACGCTGTTACTCATAGCGTACTTCCCATTTTTCAAAATTTCAAGTTACCTTTACCAGTTTTGGAATAATTGAATTATCATTTATTATTAATAAAAAAATCAGGATAGGACTGCACAAGCACAATGAAGAATAACCAAAATGTAAAGTGCCTTCTGCAAAGTGATCTAAAACGTCTTATATTTGTTTACACTGGGAGTAGTTACTAGCCAGTAAATACTCCCAATATACACTAATATAAGACGTTTTGGTAGTTCAAAGGTAGTACTAGCAGCTAAATCTCAGGGTTAATGTTCCAAAAAAGAGAAGACGAATTATAGAGCCGAGATAGTTCGGGGCGTCCAAGGAGATGCTCGCAAAAAGAGAACACGAATCTTGCAAACGAAACGGTACAAGCTAACCAGCTGGTCCGAGCTACTACTTTCAGCTTATTTCATACTTATTGATGCCAATCACTTGGTCGGATCAAGGACGTGGCCAGCGAAGACGATGACACCGGACCGTTCCTCCATGATGAGGAACATGAACGGATGATCGGCGACGAACTCCACAACGTTGGGCGGCAGGCCGCCACCACGCATGCCAGCTGTGCTCGCGCCTGCCTCCGTGCCTTGCTCGTTCACCTTGACCACCGCTCTGTGGACAACCTTTGTCAGGAAGGCCGTGCGTCCGCCGTCGTTCTTATCGAACATGCCGCGCAAGTCGGCCGCCTCCGGCGAAAATGGCAGCGACAGGCCCAGCCGACGCAGGTCGCTTTCGAGGTTCCAGTCGAAGCTTATCTCAAACTTGGGCATCTTGATGATGGTGAGATCGGGCTGCCTCCTGGTCAGGATTCTGTAGAGGTAACCTGGCGCCGCGGTGATCATGTCCACCATGGCGGCAAACCCGTGGCGCTCGTCCGGGAGGAAGATGAGCATGGAGAACTGCATAACATCGGCGTCTGGAGCCTGCATGGACAACAGAAGATTGATTGCGTAAGAGACATTATTAAAAACAAAAATAATAGTGAATGACCAGAAGAAAAGTTTCGATCACATTATTGATGCTATGTCTGCGACTGTCAGTGTCTTGAACATTCGCACGAAGATACAGTGGCATGTCCGACGCGAATCCTTGGAAACTCAGAGGCGCCGTCGGAAACTTCTGTTTCAACTCTAACAACTTATTCCAGCGATCGGCACCAATGTTAGGCCTGTAGGGGAGCCTGAGGACCTTGAACCCGTCCATACAGGAGGCATAGTGGGGGAAGTACATGGACATGAACTGCGCCTCGACAGGACTGCCGTCGAGCCGGAGCCGAACTGCTTGAGCCACGCTCCCTTGAAGTAGACGGCGTTGGCGGGCACCAGATCGGTCTCAGCGTCGACATCCGTAGCTGAGATGATAGAGGTGATGAGGTTGTTGGTGGCCTTCTTCACATGTTCGTTGATCGTCTCCACAACTTCCTCCGGCTGCACGTCACATATATATTTCATAGCACCGCCAGTGAGCTAGTAAACATGGAAGAGTAACTTGTCGAGATTAAATCTGACATTTAGGTACCTCGCTGGCGAAGCTCACGGTGCGTGCACTAGGTTGCAGAAAACCATCACTTTGAGGGCTAGGGTTTCAGAAAACACTAGGTTACATTTTCTTGACAAATTACATCATCTCTTGTGTAATCTTTTTATAAAAATCATTGATTGGCGGATCTAGCTCGATTAAGTGCGTTTATGACAGATGGAGCCCCTATTTCGCTGATGTGGCATAGCATTTTACCAAAGACAGCATTAGATGGGTAAAAAAGCAAAAACACCCCAAACACTTCTTTCAAAAAGCGAAAACACCCTCCCTGATTCAGATCGGGATCTGTCTCCCGCACACCATCGCCGTCCTCCTTCCAACTCCTTGGATGCGTGCCGCTGCTCGCGCCCACGCGCGGCCGGCACGGCTACTGCAGCTCGCGGCCGGTGCCGCTGCTCGCCACCATGAGTGGTCTGCGCGACTGCTGCTACTCGCCGCCGGTGCGGCTGCTCGTGCCCATGCGCGGCCTACGCGGCTGCTGCTGCTGCTCGCGTCCGGCGCCGCCGCTGCTGCTCGCGTCCGACGCGGCGGCTGCTACTCTCGTCCGGCGTCGCTACGGTTGCTCGCGTCTGGCGCCGTCGCGGCTGCTGCTCGCGTCCGGCGTCGTTGCTGCGCACTCCCGTCGTCGCTGCTGCATATGGTGCGTGGGTAGGGAGGCGCACGACAGAGCTTCATCGCCGCCCAGTGTCGTGCCCTACATGGCCAACCCTCACGCGACCGCCGCTCTGCTCCGCCGACGTCATCACCGCTTTGCTCGCTCGGCGCCACCGTGCTCCGCGGAGGGAGGAGAGAGGAGTCTGCGCTCCGCGGCCACCGAGGACGAAGAAGGAGAGAGGAGGCTGCGGCATCTCAGGCGAGGGAGTGGCTGCCCGGCCTCCTGTGCATCGGCGCTGAGCGGAGGATCTGGCGACGAAGAAAGAGATGGGGATCGAAGGGAGTGGGGGATAATTGCATGTTTTCTTTTTGATTCAGGGGTGTCTGTGTAAATTGTAAGGACTAGTTTGTAAATTCAAATTAAAATTGATCTGGCACAAAATGTTATGCCACGTTGGCAAAAAAGTGCCCCACTTGTCATAAGCGTGTTCAATCGAGGCTTATCCGCCGATTAGTGGTTTTTGCAAAATGTTTACGAGAGACATGGTGCAATTGCCACATTTGTGCGTCACCGAATGAAGGAAGGAAAGAGCATGTCGTACATAAACCTGGATTTTTTCCATGTCGTCCGTATCTATGCACGGCACGATACATAAATCATGCAACAGGAAGCACAATTTTGCTACTGGATCAACCGTCTTCTTCAGACTCAGACACAAGAATGAAACCGCCAAAAACATGAAACAGAACAAAGAGGAGTAGTACAGCAACTGAATCATAGTCTGACACCGTCGATGGTTGGTTGTCGTGAGGAGGGTGCATTGCAGCAGTTGCTGGTAGGATTTTGGTGTTGCTATGTTCTTGCCGCAGATGATGATATATGTAGATGGGTGAGGTTTTGGACTCGAGATATTGCTGGGAGATCACATTTGCCGTCGCATTCCAAACAATTCGTGAGCCGTTTAGCTGGTTTAGTGGACATTTGCCTTGTTGATCAACTGTTTGGTATACCCAGTTCTGTAGAATTATTTTGTGCCTGGAACTCCGAACGACCCTTATACTGTTTTGCTTTCTGCTGCTTCTTGTTCTGCTTTGCCGAGAGAATTTCATCTCGGTGGAATGCCCTATAGCTATATTTAGCTATATTACTCCTCTAGCTATATTTAGCTAGTTCACCATTGTATACGACCAAGGTTTACACCTGAGAGTCGTAGTAAATCCTTGCATTCGTGAAACTGACCAGATGAGAACGAAACTGGTGGGAACAATCAACTATACGGCGGCTGCGAAGTTCTAGTTGGCTTCTGAAAATCAACTATGCCGAAATAGATTCTCTTTTGAGAGCCCTACATATACCGATCAAACATTCCATTTCAGAATTGTCTGCTTTACTATCTAATAAGTTTGATAGAAATCAAGGCGGGTATAGCTTCCTTTGATTCATACTGTAATATTCAAGCGGACTTTGTCAACTTATTCCCCTTTTTTCAGGTTGAATTGACAACGATGTACTTTCTTCAACCATAGGAATCAGAATTTCGTAGGTAGAGGGGGCCAAGGTGCCAGAAACATGGATTTCATGGAAACAAGGTAATCCATAGTTGGTAGTAGATGTTCCGCGGGATCAGATATCCTCCATCTTGTCTCTGCATTCAAGGAATGCTTGTAGCTGTGCTAGGCGTGAGAAGAACTCTACAATACGATTTCTATGATTGGTACCAAATTGGAATTCATTCTCGGAACTCTTCTCTAGAGAATGGCATGGCTAAAGAGAGTGATAGATCCATCGTGTCGTGTGGAAACTAAAGCTAGGCGCCGCTATTCGTCCTCAGCCGTATTCTCATTCTGGGAAAAGGTATGGCTCGTTCTGGGAAACGATCAGTAGTAGTGGTGGATGGCAGGTATGGAAGGATCCCGGCAAGTTCCTATCTGAGATTACCACCGGCCCTGCCCTGAGCTGACTTCTTTGCTAGTAGTGAAGTGCGTTTTCACTTAGCTGGAAAAGTCCATAATCCGATTTGACCTCGGGAACCTGTCCATGGATCTGATCAAAGTATGATTCCCTAGTGCCAAAAGTCCTAAAGCCTATGGCGCCAAGCATGGGGAGTCCGCGGAGAAGAAAAACTCTACTTCGCTATGGGCCAAAACTAGTGTTTTTTCGGATTTCTAGTCTAGTTTAAGTGCAGGGCTAGAGAGTTCTCTTCCAGTATTCTTAGCTAACTGTCCGCTTGCTTGACTTGAACAAATAACTTTTGTTTCCACAAGGCAGATCCCATTCCTCGAATGCAAAGGACAAGAAAGACGGATTCTGGCTGGAAGGAAGGCTTCTCGTATTGGTTCTTCTGGTGCGCTACTTCCTTGTTGTGCCAGATTGGAATTGGTATCGGAATCCTGGTTGGTAGAAGGAAGCTCAGGTATTGCTTATTGTTGAAAGCACTCGTTTGTTCCGGCTCGTGAGTTGAAAGCACTCGTTTGTTCCGGCTCGTGAGTTGAAAGCACTCGTTTGTTCCGGCTCATGATGTGTCTGACACATGCATAGAATCAAGATCTATTGAGACCAGGATGTTTGTTTCTTCCTCGAAACAAGAGATACGCTCTGGCTTATTTGCATTCGACCGGAGAACCTCACTTATCAACTGCCCTGGATTGGATCTACTTACGATTTGAGAAACTGGCTCCGGAACCCCTGTTTTTTTATGCAGAATCGGTGGTTCCTTCTCTTTTTGGTGATTTCATCCATAAATCAATGGAAAGAGCACTTTATTCAGTGAATTGACACGTTCCTGATGCTTTTACAGTAGCAGCAGTCTTGGTAGCAGAAGTAGATCCGAGTGTAGATACCGGGATCATATCACCACTATTGACTATTTCAATTCATTCACATCTGCTCGTATCAATCAAAGTTTCCTATCAAGCAATCCCATCAGCAATCAAGTTGGCACCCACTATATAAGATGCCCTATTTCCTGATCTTGTCCCAAACCCAACTCGACACTTTTAGCCTGGATCCCTCCCTTCTCCGACAATATATGCAACCTTAAAGAAAAGAGACCACTCTTAGAACGACCCTTCAGAAAGGCCCACAACAAGCTATCCAAGAAGAAATTGTATAACTTGGCCAAAGTATTCACTTCCAGTTCCCTTTGCAATAAGATCACAGTAGATACTGTTTAGAAGGCTCACTCTCTCGTCTACAAAAAATAGATGTGTGCTTACTTCTTCCTAATAGGGATTGGCATCTTAGTTTATTAGCTTTTTTCTCCCTGATGAGGTGGTGCGAGAAATTTCAGTTGTACCAATTCCTAGAAGCATCTGCTCTGATACTTTGACCTGGGGGTCTTCTATTCACTCTGACAATTAGGATGAAGGAAGTATACAGGGAGGTCTGCCAGCCATTTAATGAGGAAGGTGGTCTTCATTTCTCTTGCGTATGGAAGCTTAAGGTCATTCCCTGCATTCCCTTTTTTTGGTGGAAAGCTTATTGGAATAGACTTCCGTGCAGAGAACGGACTTCTTGTCTCAAGGAATTTGCTCCGATTGTCTCAGTGTTTTTTTATGTTTGTGAAGGGGTAGTGGAGGACATATACCATGTTCTGGTGAAGTGCACAGTAGTTAATCAAGTGTGGATGGTTGGTCTTCCTGAACTCTTTGAGCTGGAGCTTTGGACTGTACGAGGTATTGGGTGCTTGCCCTATTGAGAGTATCTTACATTCTCTCTTCACCAGACAGATAGACAAATAGGCAATCCAAATAGCGAAAAGTCCATTCTGCACCCGAGCTCATATGCTCCCGCATGAACAGTAAAATCGAAAAAAATTCAAAAAATTCCATTTTTTTTGAGAGAAACATTGGCAAAAGTTCTAAGTGCCTGCAAAAATTCATCATGAAATCACATTCCTGTAAGGCGTGGCAAAAAAAACAAATTCAGTGCTTCAAAATGCATTTGAAAGTAGCTTTTTCAGAGTACTATTTTTTTTTTGCCACGCCTTCTAGGAATGTGATTTCATGACGAATTTTTGCAGGCACTTAGAACTTTTGTCAATGTTTCTCTCAAAAAAATTGGAACTTTTTGATTTTTTTTTATTTTACTGTTCATGCGGGAG